TTTTGTTCACCGTAAAAGACAGGGGGTGGGGGAAAATCACAGCACCTGCCTCACAGGGTCCACAGAAGGACCACAGGCTTACGCCAGCCTGCCCAACAGCAATATAATGCAAGCTGTGGGGAGCATGAACACTCTTCCAGCACTGACATTTTAAAAAGACACAAGTGAAACTAACATTGATTCCCATATATGAAAAGATACTACCACATGTAATATCTTCAACATGTAATCAATATACAATTATTAACAAGATGTTTTACATTTTTTTGGTAAAGAACACACACATCCAAGTTGCGACCAGCATGTCTCGATTGAGACTCGCTGTATTTTAAGTGCTCAGTAGGCCTCTGCATTGAGCCGTGATGACCTAGACAGGGTCTAGCACAGAGTAGGTGCTAACTCTTGCGAGCAGAGGTGCAATTGCTGTTACCATACCTCGCCTGGAGGAAACCTATGCGGGGAGTCCTCTGGGTGAAATGCCTACATTTTGGGATAAATAAATAGGATTTACCTTAAGCCAGCTCACTTGGCCTCCATTATTTTAACTCACAGCTGCAAGGTGTGGTACTGATCGCAGCCTCTGCAAATGAACAATCTACACAACGGGGGGTTGCTGTCCCCATCTCAGTATGTGGCTGTGCCAGCTCCTGGACTGGGGGCAGGAGGTGGGGTCTGTTGTCCCCTGCGCCACTACCGCAGGGCGAGGCAGGAGAGTGGGTAGGTCTTTGAAAATGGGAGGCAAGTGGCATAAGGGTGCTGCGCCCTCTGGAGAACAGTTATAGCCGTGAGACAGAGCCCTGTTTAGGGGGCTGTCCTGCAAGCGTTCGAGGCCAGGCAGGTTCACACGGGATTTGGGCAGATGGAAGGATACACGCAGAGCCATGCGGACGTCTGACACGCCTTTATTCTGGGGTGGGCGATCCACAGTGTGCCACAAGCCGTGAGTCATGCCACGGGAAGTCCTGACTGCCTCCTCTACTAAGTGCACACAGAGCCAGCAGGGTGCCAATGCTGACCTTCTGGTTATATAACAGCTTCATTCTACGCATGCGGGCCCCTGCTCAAGGCTATATGAACACCGCTAAGTTATGTTTGCCCGGACATCCGGGTGAGGGAGCCTGACTGACTCCATTGTCCCTACTTCCCACCCCTTCAGGGTTCCTCGCCATACAATCTACGTGAGGGTGTCTTCCGCGAGGGTCCCTTGGGGAGGAGGGCAGAGCCCTGCACCCAAATGCTGCAATAACAATACAAGCTGCAACAGCACGCAACCAAAACACAATCACTGCCGCCCAAGACAGCAAGGACCCACCACCATTCGGCGGTTAAGGAGGCCTGCTATTCCTGCAGGGGGTAACCTGTCAGGCGTTCGCCAGCATGGGTCTCAGAAGCCAATGCCATAGAGCTTGGCTTACATTGCGACGGACATTTGGAATGTACCTGCAGCATTCGGCCCCAACTACGGCACATGCCCCCCGTGATGCAGTGAGCATGGCGAAGGCCATGCGATTTTGCAGGGCAACTGATACACTTCCTCATGTAAGAGGCTTAAGGAATCATGTGTTGCATTCCATGCACGAACAGTGTGCAAAGATAAAGCAGTTATCTTAGCCTCAGTGACTATAGAAGGGGCCTGAGGAGAAAAAATGGCTAATGGATGGTACTACCAGGGGTACGCTTTACCCAGTGTTGCATCTTACACGCTTCCCAATTGACTGGCCAGTTTCTAAGAGTTTTCTGAACTCGGGCGGGCAGGTAAGGCCACCCCCAGGTACAATGGCCAGTCCAATTTCTGGGCAAGTATGGCCACCCATGTGAACCACACACCCAGAGGGCCTCAGGGGGAACTGCGGCCCACGTGTTATTCCGCACCTCCCAGTAATGCTTAGGAATAGGCTTCTGACACACAGCTCTTGGAGTCCCGTCCACTTGGCTTTGTCCTTTAGGGCTCTCAATACAAAGGGGGCTGGTCCCGCCAACTCCACGGAGTTGAGCCGCCCGGAGTCATCCCATATGGAGTAGCTGATGACAGGCTGCGGCTAGTCATACTGCTGCTCTGCCCCGGCATGGATGTCGGTCCAGGTCGCATTCCACAAGGGATGTGCACTGTTCTCCTGGTGGTGTAACCAAGTCCAGTTGGAAGTGGAAGCTGGAGAGATGCGCCACACCTGCAGCATTGCCCCTTCTAATTCTGTGAGAGAATCGCTGGTTAGCAAAACATCATCAATGCAGCGGAACAGGCGCACTGCTGCACGCCGTGGCCACCGAGCCAGGTCCTCCACCACAAGCTCGTGACAGATGGTCGGGCTGTGCACATACCCTGGAGGGAGCTCTGTGAAGGTCCACTGTCGGCCTTCCTATGTGAAAGCAAACTGATCTTGACTCTCTGGAGCAATATCAATGGAGAAAAAGGCATTTGCTAGATCAGCTACAACATGGTAAGTTCCCAGCTCATTAGTTAATCGGTCCATGCAGTCTATCACAGGGGTGGCCGCTGCAGGTGTTGGGGGAATGGCCTTACTGAGCTTCCTGCGGATCTACTGTCATTCTCCACGTGCCGTGCGGCGCCGCACTGGCCATATGGGGGAGATGAGGGGACTATGGGCGGCCCTAATTATCCCCACCTTTCCCAACTCTCCTATAGTTTCTTGACCTCCTCATGGGCCCCAGTGGCAGCGGGTACTGCTTCACCATTGTCACCCGTCATGGGGGTGGCATCTGAACGGGGTGGGGGGATGCTCAGCGTGTCCCCACAGAACGGCTTTTACCACTCGCAGCCTCAGGCGGAACTCCCCTGCAGTGGGGTTTGCAGCCACAACCCTGGGAGCACATTAATGCCCAGGATGTACTCAGGAATGGGGGACACATACACAGTATATTCATGGTGGGGGGCATCGCCCGATACCCAGGGAGCACTGCACAGCTTCCACCTTCACACTGCGTCCCCCATAACCATCGACAGAGGCCTCAGGTCCCGGAAACTTGTCTGGGTTTCCATACAGGAGTGTACATTCTGCTCCTGTGTCTACTAAAGCCAGGACCCGCTGGACATTTGTAGGGGACCAGTGGATAGTCAATTCCACATGCGGCCTCCAGTTCGTGCCAGCCCTTTAGACGTGCTCCTTGGCCCTCCCCCTATTCCAAATTACAAAGGATATCTCCTCTCTCCTCAGGAGGCTGGCACAGCTAGGTGGTCTTCCAGCCAGACAGGATGGGCCTCACAGGTTGCGTCCTGGGGTTCTCCCTTCACTTCCTTCTTCTGGGGCCGCAGGAAGCGTTGGTCACCTCGCAGCTGTTTCCACAGTTCTAATAAGGAGGCGTTTGGCCTCCCATTGATCTTACTTCGATCTATTCCAGCCCCCAAAAGATCCACCCACGTTTGGGTCCTGCTCAACCACGCGTGGGGTCGCTTTTTGCCTGCGAAACAGAGGGGGCTTCAGATACCCCCCAAATTCCTTTCTGCTGCCATCACCTCTCCCAGACTTGCCACCATCGTGGTGACGTCATTAATACAGCGCCCAACATATGGGGCCAAAACAGCCTTAAGGGATCCAAGGGAGGCGGAGGGGGCGTGCTGAAGCACCAGATTCCTGTTCCTGCCCTAGAGCAGCCAAGATCGGGGCCCTGAGTATTGAGATTAAATATGGCCTGGCGCATGCCCAACTCCGACAGAATCTGCACTAAATCCGCGTAGGACTGCCATTTACTCAGTGTCTGGCATGTCTCCTGCATTCGCCTAGATGTCGCCAAGAGCGGCCATGACCCATTCTAACAGAGAGCGAGAGCCCGGTCCCCTTTCGTGTGGCCTGCTATTTTGCAGCCACTTGCGCAGGGAGGGATGAGTCGTGTGGGAAGCCAACTCCTCCGTCTCTTTATCAGTGCACGGGATACTATCCACCCCTAAATCGCAAAGGCGGAGGAGCCACGCCGCCAGGGGCTCCCCCGGCAGCAGCCGAAACTGTTGGGCCAGATCTATTTCAGCCTGCGTTTAGTTGTGTGCTCAACCGCCTGGGCTGCGCCAGCTGGACTCCCGTCCCGGTGGCCGGAGGCTGCTGTGATTCCACTTCTGTCTCCGTCACAGCTGGCAAACCTGTAGGAAACACCCAGCCCAAGCCCCGCGGTCACTCGGGCACTCGGCTTCTCCAGGATCTCCCCTCCCACCCACAGGGCCTTCTCTACCATGTTGGATGCACCACTAACATTGGGCCAGTCCTGGGTGGGGAGCCCAGGCCACTAGGAGCCCTGCCACCGAATACTCCATACCGGTGGCAGGCCACCCTTCTATCCCCGCTCCGGGGTTCGCGGTGGCTCCATACCGGACTGCGACGCATTCTGCCAGCTGCGCCAACTGTCCTGCAAGCGTTCGAGGCCAGGCAGGTTCACACGTGATTCGGGCAGACGGAAGAACACAGGCAGAGCTCTGGGGGTGTCGGACTCCCCTTTATTCCGGGGTGGGGCCACCTACGGAGCCACAAGTCGCACCGAGGGAAGTCCCGACTCCCTCCTATACTGAGTGCACACAAAGCCGGCAGGGTGCCAATACTGACCTTCTGGTTATATAACAGGGCTTCATTCTACGCATGCGGGCCCCTACTCAAGGTTATATGAACACCGCTAAGTTATGTTTGTCCGGACATCCGGGTGAGGGAGCCTGACTGACTCCATTGTCCCTACAGGGGCGGTGGGTGCCAGAAAGGGCAACAATGGAGGCAGGAGTATTCCGAGCGCCGGCAGATTCTGCCACGCTGAGTGAACGTCCGCAACCTGGGCGGGCGGGCCCACGGAGGCCGCAAAGGCGCGAGGCCGCATCGGGGGAACGCCAGGGGCCGGACAGGCGCTGGGCCGCAAACACTGCCACAGCCTCTGCAGCCGCGTCCGCTGTCTCCCGGCCCCTGAGTGGCTGACGGGCCGGCATTAACCTTTCACCGCCGCGCTCTGTCCAATCACAGGCTCGCTCTCATGCCGGCTCTGAGCGAGCGGTGCGTGGAGGCGGGGGGTGCACGGGGCGGCGCGGGCGCCAGTGGGATTCTCCAAGCGGCGGTGCGCCGTTGCCGCGGGCTGTGCGCGGGCTTCGGGCAAGCCGGGCGCTGCGCAGTCTCCGCAGGCGCCGGCGGGAGGGGTGAAGGCGGAGGCGCGGCGCGGCGCGGCGCAGGCTGCTCCAGGCCCAGGTGAATGGAGTAACCTGACAGCGGGGACGAGGCGACGGCGAGCGGGAGGAAATGGCGGCGGCGGCGGCGCCGGGCGGCACCGGGAGGCCTGGGCTGTGACGCACGCGCCGGAGCGGGGTCCGATGGTTCCTGAAGGCCCGCGGCGCCCCGTGCTGCAGGTGAGGCGGGCTCCTGCGGAGCCGCTTTGTGTCCGGGGCGGGGAGCGGCCCCGCCCGGCCCCGCGCCCGCCTCCGCGCCCGGCCCGCGTGGGCGCCCCGGCCCTGGGCCCGCGCTCCGGCCTGGCCTGCGGGGCGGAGACGGCGCGGGCAGATGGCGCGGCCTCGCCTGGTCCTGGGCGGCGCGGCCTGCGGGGCCGGAGCCCACCCGCCGGGCTCTGCGCCTGCCGCAACCCTGGCGCGCGTCCTGAGTCGCCGCTTTGGAGTCACTTAGTGCGGTCGCAGCGGCCCTGGATGGGGACGCGGGCACCTCCGCACACTGAGCGGAAAGCGTCCTCAGCCGTCTTCCCGGCCGGCTGGAGAGCAGGGGTTTGACAGGTCCGGTTACGCGCACGGAGCGGTGCGGACACGGCAGCGGCGTCTCGGGAGCATCCTAAGGACTTGCGGTGGCGGCGGCCACTGCTCTGGGCGTCACTGGACACCCTCGAAAGGGCCGGGAGGGAAGGAAGCCTTGGGGCCCGCCCGGGAAGGATTGAGAGGATTGTTCGTGTTTATTGGCAGGTGACCAGGTCTGGGTCCCAGGGGGCGGGTGACCGAGGCCATCTTTCCGCCCCTCCCCTCCGTTGTTTTTGTGCCAGAACTTCTGGACTTGCAGAGGAGCCGTTCTTCAGGATTTGTAAGCTCGGGGAAATCAGTGTATATTTTAAGTTGGCACTCAGATTTATGTAGATTACCTAGAAAAGCTGAGCTGCCCCGATGGCTTCGCCTGCAACACAGAGCTAACAAACCACGTAATGTATCCTCAGTAGCCTGAATATTTGCAAAAACGGAGATGAGTGGGGAGTCCTTGCTCTATAGCGTTTAGTCTCTGTGTGTGTGTGTGAGTGAGCGTGAGCAGAAAGTCGTGCTGAAAAGGCCCGCGTTACTGACCCACGCAAGTCCGAGTGCTCTTCCAGCGAGGGAGCGCGGTTTCACAACGTTCATCTAATTAATCACTTTGAAGTCCGTGCCTTGTGCGGTACTTCCTTAAATTTTCTGAATCTCTACTGTTCTGATTTTCAGTTGTCTTTGTGTTGCTAGTTCTTCAATTGCAGCGCCCTCAGTGAATGGAAAAGGGCAGAAGTTCGGTAACTTGGAAATTGTATATATATTTTTAAATGTGCTTTTATGAAAGGACAAATGGTAGTGGAAATATACAATAAAGATCAAATCAAAAAAAGGTTAACTAAATTGAACAATGTATTGATATAAACATTAACATTTCTAAATAAAAATACCCGTCTTAACCAAGAGCTCCAGTAATTTATTAGAGGGTGGAGGATGGTACAGGATCCTGGGTGAGGAGCCTCGTGATAGTAACTTTAGCATTACCAACATCTGCAGGAAGCAGGTTCTGGAATAATCAGTTTATTTCGCCAAGTGTTGTCTTTAAAACTAGATAGCTATGTGTGGCACATGTACATTATATGTAATGTATGCCGTGTATATACACCCATGGAGTTATTTCAGAACTTCATTTTAGGCCATATTTTATAAAACTTACCCTGCCTATGGATTAGAAATACTAAAGATTGCTTTTAATAGGGTCACTCTAAAGCATTTAAATGGTAATGTTGGTTTAGGGGTTTATTCACAGCATCAAGATGCTGTTTTAAAAAGAGATGTATTAGTCAAATTTAATATGGGGAGGAAAGACTTAACTTTCCTGCAATTCTTTTAGGAAGGACTTGCTTCACTCCTGATGCTGCCATGACCTCCTTAAAGGGGGAGGATTGTCCAGTGCGGCGGCTCGGTGTGTGAATTGTGCCAGGAGGCGGCTTTGCCATTGCTGGACCTTGTGATCTTGGTTATAGGAGACATTTTGTTTTGATGTGGCTCATGATCTTATTTGGTAGCGGTTTTGCGGTGTTACATGTTGGGCATTATGTTCAGTGTAGCTCTGCCTTCCAGGAAGAAGGACTTGTATGGCATCGAGATACTTATTTCCCTGCTGCTGTCTGCCATGTGAGATGCTCGTTTCCTTTGAGAAAGTAGATACTGAATAGACATTCTCTCACTTGGGGCCTTCACATCCTGTGGGCGTTACTTGTGGGAAGGCGAGGGGAATGTTTACTAGTAGGAAATGCCTCCTTGTCTTGTGCCAAGGTGTTTCAGGGGCATTCTCCTTGAATCCTCACCGTGACGCAGGGAAACTAAGCCTGCGGTTATTGCCCGGAGGAAGGAGTCTGCGGCTGGCAGTGCTAGGGCTGGCCTGGTTGGGTTTCAGAGCCCGCGCGCGTGCGTTCATTTCATTGCGTTATATTGCGGTTCTCCGTGGATTTTAGAGGAAAAACCTGTACAACACATAGGTCAGTCTTTAGTTAATACTTGTTGAATGAAGGAAACACTGTCTAACTCTAAATGTTCAGGTGATCCCTAATAATTTGAATATTTCAGATGATAACATATACATAAAAAATGTATCACATTACCCGTTTTTAAGTGTGCAGTTTTGTGGCATTGCATTCATACTGTTTTGCTACCATCTCCAGAATTTTTTCATCTTCCTCAACTACGACTCTGTCCCCATTGGACACTAACTCCCATCCCTACCGCCCCCCAGGCAGCCGCCACCATGCTTCCTCTACAGACACGGCTGCTCTGGGAAGCTCACATGAGTGGAGTCATACAGTATTTGTTCTTTTGCACTGGCTTATTTGGCTTAGCATGGCATCTTCAGGGTTCACTTTTGTTGTAGCATGTGTCAGGATTTCTTCCTTTCTAAGGCTGAATAACGGTTCATGGTGCAGGTATACAGCACCTTTTATTTATCCGCTCGTCCAGAGGTGGACACCTGGGTTGCATCTGCCTTTGGCTTTGTGAGTAATGGTGCTGCGAACATAGGTGTACAAGTACCTGTTTGAGTCCCTGCTTTCATTTCTTACGGGTGTGTGCCCCAAAGTGGTCAAATTGTTTCTTGATCGTCAAAACACTGGACTCAGAATTTATCTTAATATGAATTTTCTCAGGGTTGTTCCAGACGGTTAAGACAGTTCCTCTTTGTCATAAAAGACTTTAATCTCCTTGAGGCCCAGGATTGACTCATTTATATGATTTCAGTTCCTATCAGTGCCTGGCAAATGGATACTCAAAATAGCTGAGCTTACTCAGTTGATCCATCATGGAGCTAGGTTATGCTCTTGGATGCTGGAGGCACTACTGGTGAGGTCTGTGTTTAACCTGTGCAAATAGGAAGTTGGAGCCAAGTGATTAATCTTGTTTACCTTGTGCTTTGCTTTTTTGGACATTCAAGGTTTAGTTCGGTCTAAAAGCCCAGTGGATGTACTGTATGTTTTATTATTGTCTACCTTGAGAAAGGATTTGAGGTGACCTTAACACTGATAGGTGTTCGAAAGGACTGAACCTGGTAAAGGTTGCGGGGTGCCCTGTGGAGGGGGTTGGAGGGAGTTAGAAGGGGGTCTTAGGGCATGGACAGCCCGGCATCTGCATGGAACTGAAGGTTTGCTTTTTTAAAAATTTAAATAGTAGTCAAGGCAAAAGAGGAAGCAGTAGTAATTATAGTTGGCATTGATTAATGAAAGGAAGTATACCAATTAACCAGGAGAAGCAGACTTTTCTCTTGTATGAAGAATAAGCAATTGTTTAAATTCTTTAAAAAAATGATGATAACATATGGACAGAATGTTTTACAAATGATAAGCATTTTCACATGCCATTTTAGAGAAACTAGATAGAAGACTCAGGCATAATAAAGTTTTAGTGATACAAGTGTACGTCATTCTGGTGATTTGATTTATTAGATTTAGTTAATGTCTCTTTCAGATGATTTCCCTGAAATACCAGTTATTTTATTCAGGCTTTTGACAGATGCTGAATGACAGGCAGTCTATTCACAAATGAACTCATTTCTGGACGGTACAGGCAGTCAGGGTTTCCCAGAGTCTCTCTGCCAGTCTCCAGGAATGTGTGCTGGCCTCAAAAGCAGGGCTGCGTGTGTGGCAGTGTGTACTCAATGAAGGAATCCAGAGCAGGCGTTACAGTTGATCCTTGAACAGCGCGGGGCCTTGGGGGCGACAACCCTCCCCACCTGCCCGCCCCCCGCACCCCACCCAATCGAAAACCTGCCTGTAACTTGTTTCCTAAAAACGCATGCATCCCTCGTTGTCAGCTGGTTCCAGGACCAGTTCTCCGCCCCATTCCTGTCCCCCTGCAAATGCGAAAATCCTTGGGTGCTCAAGTCCCGATATATAATGGCCTTCGGCAGCTGTGGACTGAAAACAGCACAGGTATTTACTGAGTAAAAATCCATGTGTAAATGGGTTCTTGACCCTCATTGCCGTGTTCAAAGGTCAGCTGTGTTTTTGAGGTCTACCTGATGAAATGGAAATTTTCAGTAACATAAGAAGGCCTTTATGAAATAAATTCTGAGTACAAAACGACTGTCCTCTTTATATCTAAAATTGTCAGTGAATTGTTGGTTCATCTTTAATATGCAAAGTTGCTATACATTTTAAATAGATGATTAAGAAGTTGCCACAAGAAAGCATTGTCTGAGGATAACACTTACTAGAAATATGACATGAAATACTTAAATTTTGTCCTTAGTGTTTTGATTTTTGATACTTGTAGTGACATTAAATGTCTGTTAAGTTTTATAGAAGAATAAGGGTGGAATAGAACAGTGCCTGGCATATAGAAGGTGCTCCATTTGTTCAATGAATAAATTAGTTTGTATTGCCTTTTGAAGTACTTAGAGGCTAACACAGGTTTATGGAGAATAACATTGCTTGTGTATTAAGCTTTTAAAAAGATTATTACTGTTCTGATTATGGACAGTTCTGCTGCCTGGTTCGTCTCAGTTAGTGAGGTGCATATAATTAGCTGCATAGAAACACTGTGGACCAAGGGAAGTGGTAAGAACTTCATAGAGGAAAATCACTATAAAAATGGGGAGTTTTACCGGTATTGTAGGCTTTCTCATTGTTGAAATGGGCTAAGCCTGA